ATCTTTTGCTATTACTTACAGGATTGGTGGACCATTCACATGTTGCCTGAAATGATTAAATTGGTGACTGCAACTTTTTTCTTTTTTGAAACAATAAACTGCATTTCATAATCAGAAAGCTTAAACCCATCAATTTTTCTGGTATGAACGCATACTTCTAATCCTCAAGTAATAGGAGAAACTATAATATTATAGGACACTTTATATCAGAAGTAATATAATGTTCATTGTCCATCAATTTATTTAGTGTTTAGTAATAATGTAAAAGTATTATAATGTTCATTGTCCATCAGATTATTTAGTATTTAGTAATGTATAACTATTTAAAAAAGGAGAAATTACAAAATATGGCTCTTATCTTAAGGCAAATTGACAATTTTATATAGTAATTTGTGTGATTGAACAAAATGTCCATTACCTAATAAAAGTTGTGCAGAACATGCCTAAAAATCAGTGTTTTAGAAGTCGCTAGACGCCCGTTAGACGCTCGACCACCGTCCAGCGCCTAGACACTTAAAAATTAAGATTAAATACCTTATTTTTTATTTTTTTACTACATATAAAATGAAATCATCTCAACTTATAATAAATCCACACACTTAAGCCTAATTAATGATATTAATATATTATAAAGAAAAGTGATAACAAATAATATAGTTTGTATTTAAAACAATAAAGAAAAAACAAAAAAAACAAAAAAGAAAATTGACGTCTGCCCTTCTAGGCGGTTTTTAGTACAATGCTGAAAAATGAAAATACAAAAATCAAGTAAAACAATTCACTAACTAGTAATTGTAAAAAACATCCATTAACTCAAGTATTTGGGTATTAATTATGCTCGCGATTTAATTAGTTAGTGGATATTTTACGCGAATGAAAGTTTCCGAAAATATTAGTATGCCCATAGAATTTCTGCAAGTTACATAGATATAATTTGCAATCTTCTGCGAAACAATTCTCCCTATAAAAAGCTTCCTTTCTATCCTACAGTATCATGAAACTGTTGTATTGCTAAGAACTTTTCCTTCTCATTTATCACAATTTCTCTACTAAAACTTACATTATCATAGAAGTGTTGAGTTGCTAAAACTTTCCCTCATCACTTATAACAATTTGTGCACTAAAAGTTAAGATGTCGAAAATACCACCGAAACGAGTTTATGATTTCATCCCTCCTAAGTTAATCGTATTCCTAAAACTAAATATGAACTATCAAACCATTATGACACGCATTTAAAGTAAAAAATTAGTAAACAATCTTGTGTATATATAAAAATATAAATTATAAAGTGTTATAAATTATATGCATATGATATTGAAATTATACGATAAATAATTAATATATCACATTTTACAAATTTGATCGTTAGTAAGTAGAGTATAAATATAAATTATTTAACTACACATGGATCACTATATTTATTGCATAAAATATAATATATAACATGAATTTTATAATTTCGAGAGATCATTAGTTCATTACCAACTAATTAGTTAGAAAAATATTGAAATAGTAGTAATAATAATAATAATAATAATAATAATAATAAGAACAACAACAAAAACTATTTAAGGGGTTTGACTATACCAATAAAATTAATTCATTGATTTCTTAAAAATATCTCTTAATGAGATGACAAAAAAAATAATAGTATTAATTTTAGAATAAATAATTTGAAAAGAAACTACAATAGAACTTTTGATGATTATATAACTTCCATCTACCATTTAATTTGAATAAATAATTAGTTGCTATCAGTAAGAACTATCATATGCTAGAATAGTTGATAAAATATGATTACATTTAATTAATATGAAATGTAGTGATTTTATTATAATTGACTAAAAAATAGGCGGATTTTTTTTCATTGCATTAATTTGATAGTCTGTAATTATATATATATATATAGATGGTGTTGGAGCATAAAAAGCTGTTTCCTACTGTCAACTTACATAAGGACACCCGATAATAAGTTCAAAAATTTACCATAAATTGGTGCTATGTTAGTATTGAATTTATTTTGGCGCATACTCCACCATTTGAGCTACCTACTGCTATCATTCAAACCCCTTTCACATGCAATGGAATTTCTATTTTTTATGTACACACATTCTGAATTGTCATTTTGCTCTAAATGTAAACGGACTAAATTTGCACAATGCATTCACGGGCTGAATTTTGCTCCACCGTATAATAAGAATATCGAACATTAAGTTTTATAACTATTGTTATTACTACTAGTACGGTACCCGTGCGATGCACGGGAGCATTTATTACCTATTTATTTTTTAAAAAGTATTTTTGTATTTAAATTGTCTCATGCCATTAAAAATTTCATGAAAATGAAATTTATATGTTATTAAACACTTACTTATGTACAACATTATTGATTTGATTCTTTGACACGTAAAGTACTATATAGGTGTTCCGTGTTCGAATTTATCCAAAATTGCATATTATTTATTATTAGTTAATAAATTTTAAAAAAAAACTAAAGGACCTTGTTTATTAAACAAAATTAAAGTAGAAAAAAAAGTAGAACTTTTTATGGATTTTCACCAGTTATTTATTTTAAATCTAATTCTAAATTTCAATTAAGAAAAATTGAAAAGAATCATTAGTTACTCCTGGAATGAAACCGATTTTCCTACCAATAAACCGATTTTTTTATCAAACAAATTGATCCGAACTTTTTCTTAAACTAAATAAAAAAATCATCAAATTTTTCCTAAAAATGCAACTTAATTTTCCTAACATTGCATCGATTTTTGTACCAAACAAATTTAATTGAAAATAGTCCTAATAAAAAATTGAAATAAATTGTTATTGTTTATGCTACTGTCTCTTTCCTAAAGAAAATGATATGAACTTAACCAAAAAATGATATAAACTTACCAAAATCTCGGTAAAACATGGTTAAGGAAAAACATAAGAATCCAAAAAAATCGATGCATTTAAATTTTAAAAAGTTGCACACAACTTTTCCTAAATAATTGGATAAGGTGACTTTAAAAATGTGGACACAATTTTGAATGTACATTCCGTCCAAATATCAGTTTTATTTTAAAATAAAAATTGCACGCGGTTTTATCCAATTTACACAATTTTTTTGAAAGAAAAAATTATTCAATAAGATTGGAAGAATTGGTTAAGAATTATACAACTATTTGCTTCCTAAATTTGTATCCAATTTGCACTGTTTTTAAATTAATTTGTATTTAGAACTATTTTCATAAATAATTGACACATTTTTTGCATAAGAATCTCCAAATTTGTTACCAAAAAAGATATGATTTAAATTTTGGTAAAGAATAAAATATGATATGAAAAAAATGAGATCCAAATTTTGCCATAAGAATCTCCATATTTGTTAAAAAAAAAATAGGATTTAAATTTTGTTACTAAAGATTCACATGTGTTTTTTTAAACTTTTCATTAATAGTAAGTCAAACATTATATTTATATGGTCAAACTTTCCATTAATGTATTTTTCCAACAACCTCTTTATATATATATAGATTACTATTAATAGTATTTTTATTATTGATTGTATTTTTAATTTATATTTAACATAAAAGTTGTTTACATTAATTACCTTGTTTGGTGGTAAATGGCATTTTCGGGTAATTAACTAGAGATTTGATCCGTCATAATCTCTATATTCGTTGTTTGGTAATTAGCCGTTTGAAATTGGTAATAACATTTTTTTTACCCAAAAAGTAAATTTGAAAAGCTTAGGAGCAAGGTTGCAAAATTAGTTAAAATATATCAAACAACTAATTATTTGAGTTATAATACTTTACATAATATCATCTAATCAATTAACTAATTAAAACTAATATTTCAATGAGTCAATGTACTAATTTTTCAGATGTCAGACATACTAAGAGCTAGGCAATTTCATTTATAGTCCTATATCAACATAAATAGATACTGAACTTCATATAGCTAGCTAAATGTAACATGGCCTCTAGAATTCCCCATAAAATTAAATAGAGTAACTAATATCAAAACCGGATCCAAAATATACTTGTCAAATATATACACAATGTTATGAACATTAGTACCCATCTATTCGTCGAGTTCGAAATTAGACTCCAAACAAAATGATATATTGTAACAATATATGACTACTATATAATAATTCGAGAAACAATCTCACTTTTGGAATAGAATTCCCCTATACACAAATCTAGCTAATCTATTGCACATATTTTATTTTCGTTTCATTGTAAGTATATATGTTGTTACAATATATATACATACTTTCAAGTTGAAATGACAAATATATTCTACAAAACGACATGAATAAAACTATAACAAAAATTTGCATATCTTTATTAAAAAACATTACCTTGACTTTCGTTCTAAAATAAAAATGGAAATCAGCATTTAAAACTTAAAACCTGGTTTTTCTAGATTCTCGGGACAATTTAATACTTCATACCTAAAAATTTAATGGCAGGTGAAAGTATTATATAAATCTACGTGTCTCTTAAGCCCAAATTTAACACTAGATTCATTTTATACGTATTCAATTTAACAACGCTATGTGCTGATGCTCAGGTAGTTATAAATATAGAACCAAAATTAACAATAACTCAATCACCCAAAAAAAAATGGAGAAGAAAATGGGAGGCATAACAGCTGAAGCTATTATCCTCGTTATTTTTCTCGAAATATTTTCATTTTCCAATTCTGCCCCTCTCTTCACTAGCTCCCGATGGATAGTGGACCGGGCCACTGGGGATCGGGTAAAGTTCGCGTGCGCCAATTGGGTCTCGCACTTGCAGCCCATGATAGCTGAGGGGCTCGAGAAGAAGCCCCTGGCCCAAATAGCCAGGCAGATAGCCGGAAACGGGTTCAACTGCGTCCGGTTCACGTGGGCCACATATGCCTTCACCCGGCCCGATTACAGCGGGCTCACGGTTTCACAGTCCCTCGACAAGTACAACCTGACGGCCGCAAAAGCGGGCCTCGCGGCTAACAACCCGTGGGCCATGGGCCTGAAGGTGGTGGAGCTCCACCGGGCCGTGGTGAACGAGCTCGGGAAGAATAATCTGATGGTGGTGCTCGATAACCACGTCAGCTTGCCCGATTGGTGCTGTGGGCCCGACGACGGTAACGGATTTTTTGGGGACCCGAATTTTGACGCGAGCGAGTGGCTGCAGGGCCTGGCTGCGGTCGCAAGAACGTATAAGGGTAATCCGGCGGTGAGTATAATATTATAATTACATAATTAATTACTTAATAATTAAATTAATGTGTGTACAGTGTATATGTTATCGTAATGCCTCTGTACATTTTTTTCTTTTCTTTTTTTTTTTTTATTTAATAAAGTTACGAAATTTTGTTGGGAAAGAGCTGTAGAATAAATGAGTAAGTACTCTAGATTATACGTGCAAGGTTAGTATGGTATGACTGGATGTGTATTTATTAGTTTTCTAGGTGGTAGGTAGAGTGGTGATTAAAGTTACGACTTACGACGTTAGTTAATTGAGTCTAATATTAAATTATTAAAAAAAGAAATAAATAGTGTGAAATCCTTTGATGATTATATACTCCGTAACTAGTGCGTGGCCCGTGCGATGCACGGGAAAACAATATTACAATTGTATTATAAATTAAAGATAAAATTGCATATAAAAGCACCATCTTTCATGTTTTTGTATTTTAATCACGACCTTCGCATATTAGCACTTAAGTACATATCATCCCTTTGCAAGTCGAAGCACGCCTTTCATCTCCGGCACCAATAAAATGACGTGGCTTGCCGGAATACACATGTGGAATTCAAAAAAAATGAGAAACATGCAAATTCATTTTGCCCAGTCATTTTTTGACACGTCGATTGCACCAAAAAATTAAAAAACTAGAATTGAAATCCACGTCGCCTTGCAGAATGATAAAAATCCCCAAATCGAAGAAGAATGAAACTTAAAAAAATCCTCTGTAAAGGCAATCTCTTAACAGAACGATGATACCTCCAAGCTGGATTTTTATCCGTGTTCGAGGTTTGCATTTTCGCTTCCAAATCATGGAAACACATAAGAGGCTGAGGAGTTGTGGTTCGACTGCTAGATCCACTCGACATTTTCAAGAAAAATTGGGGATTTTGAAAACACAATTAGGGTTCGTATGGGAAGAGGAATTGGAATTTTGGGGTCATGGAGAAGACGTAAATTAGGGTTCGTATGGGGATTTTAAATTATCAATTAAATATTACATTCGATTTTCTTTGCAATTAGTTTTTTTAATAAAAAAGGAGAAGACATAAAGTTTATGCCTGATTTTATAATATGACCCATTTTTAATATTTAATTATATAAAGTAAAATATGATATTATAATCTAAAGTAGATTATGTTCTGATCTAAAAACTCATATATTATCCGTGCCTGTAAATTAGATACACAATAACCGATGTTTTGGGAAGTGAATTAAAACATGAAATAAAAATTAGCTAAAAAATAACCGATTTAAGGCCAACCGATTTTTTGGGAAATGAATTAAAACATAAATAAAAAATAGCTGAAAATAGTATGTAATTAATATGTGTTGACATTTTCTTCTTACTATTTATGGTAAATAGTAAATCTTTATATATATATATATATATATATATATATATATATATATATATATATATATATATATATATATATATATATATATATATATATATATATATATATATATATATATATATATATATATATATATATATATATATATATATATATATATATATATATATATATATATATATATATATATATATATATATATATATATATATATATATATATATATATATATATATATATATATATATATATATATATATATATATATATATATATATATATATATATATATATATATATATATATATATATATATATATATATATATATATATATATATATATATATATATATATATATATATATATATATATATATATATATATATATATATATATATATATATATATATATATATATATATATATATATATATATATATATATATATATATATATATATATATATATATATATAGATATAACTCATTTCCATAGCTCTTCAGTTGAGCCGACTTAACCAGTAAATGATAATCCAATATTTTTTTCGTAATATACACAGTTTTATTAAAAAACATGTAAATAAAAGTATGATATTTAATAATTTAAATATGTATATATTTTTACATAGTATGATGAGTGAACTCGCCTTAATATTAAGTTGTCACACATAATAATTTGTGAGCTCAATTGGTAAGGCCTTAATAATGTGGTAACATACGGAGTTTATAATGTAATTAGAAGATTAGGAGTAGTAAATTCATAGCATCGTGTTGTGTTCATGTTTATGTTTGTGTTATCTATTTTTTTGAACATAAATATAACACTAAATCAAAATCAACTAAATTCTTTATTTCATATTTTTCTCATGCCGTGTTTCATACAAGCCATGTCATGTCGTGCCCAACGTGTCATTTGTCTCTATAATTCTCAGCTATTATCACCAATATTGAAAATTGTAATTCTATAATTACATAATATTTTCTCAACATTAGATTTTAATAATTATTTTGTCACTGCAGGTTGTGGGCATGAGCATGAGGAACGAGCTGCGCGGCAGCCGACAAAACGAGGCCGACTGGTACAAATACATGCAAGCCGGCGCCAACACAATCCACACTGAAAATCCCGACTTTCTCGTCATAGTCTCGGGTCTCTCCTTCGATACAAACCTCGGCTTCTTAAAGACCAAGCCATTAGACGTGAAGTTCGACAACAAATTAGTCTTCGAAGCTCACTGGTACACGTTCGGCATCCCTGACGACCAATGGACATCTCAAACGAACAACTTATGCGCGAGCGTGACCAAAACGGCTCGTGATAATCATCTCTTTTTGACTTCTGGAGAAAACCCGTTTCCACTTTTTCTGAGCGAGTTCGGCATTGACCAAAGGGGTCAAAACGAGGCCGATAACAGGTACATAAGTTGCTTGCTGGCTGAGGTGGCGGAGAAAGATCTCGATTGGGCATTATGGACTTTTCAGGGAAGTTACATACTTAGACAAGGGACGCGTAATTTGGAAGAGGTTTATGGAATAATGGATCTTAATTGGGATCGTCCGAGGAATCCGGGCTTTGTGGACAGGTTGCAGATTATGAGACAGATGAATCAAGGTAAAATAGTTTTTAACCGTTAGATATACATAAAGATTAGTGTACGTAGGATAGATAATTTACAGTTAAAAATACTAACAGAATGATTCTGTAGTGGGACTGAAGTCATTTCCATTAACTTCAATTGTAGTTTAGTCTTTTAGTTACATACATACATTCTTCAATTAATTTTGCCTGAAAAAAATCCTTGAATTGAATTATTACCAAAATATGAAGGTTCGAATTCAGCACGTCCAACCTCGTACATAATGTTCCACCCACAGAGTGGGCAGTGTGTGCAAATCGGAAATACCAATAATGTTCTACTAGCAAATTGCAAAGCCGCCAGCCGATGGGACCAACTCAAAGACGGGGGCCCAATTAAGATGGCGGGAAACCCAAGATGTCTGGTGGCTGGCCCAGTTACCATTGAAGTTTCTAATGACTGTTCAAGTAAGTGGAAGTTCGTGTCGAGCTCAGGCCTTCATTTGGCGGCCCAAAAGGGACAGGGGAGCTATTTGTGCTTGGATGGTTCGAACACGACTCTTGTGGGTAACAAGTGTCTTTGCGTTGGGGACGATCTTGTTGATCTTCCTACGTGCGCCGACAATCCACAAGTGCAGTGGTTTAAGTTTGTGCCTACCAATGTGTAGTGTTAGGGTGCAATATTGAAACAAATTGACACAATGTGCCTTTGGAAAAAAGAAACAGGGCATATTTATTTTTATTTTATTTATTTGGTTGGTACCATGGTGGAATAAAGCCTATATATAGAGAATTCAGTTAATTAGCATGAGTAATGAAGATGTGACCAAGTGTTGTCAATTGGCTTTACTATGTAAATTCCAAGTGTGTCTTGGATTTTTAGAGGAAACTAGTTAATAATTCAAATTATAATATAGCATGAGTATTAATGTATTATTAATTTAATATTAAAAATATGTCAAAATAAGGGTCTTTTAGGTAGTTTATTTTTTTAATATTAGTTATATAGCATGAATATTCATGTATTACCAATTTTCCATTAAAAATATATGAAAGTAAGGATATTTTAAGTAGTTCATATTTTTACAAAATCACTCATCCTTTCTTTTATAATAGTATAGATAGATAAATAGATAGAATAGACAATATTTTCCAAATATTAATTTGGGACACGTTTTAATCCAATTAATCTGGAACCAAATACTCTCCAGACTGCACAGTAAAATCTATAACAAGAAAGTTTATATATATGTATTTTCATATTTATTTTATGTTATAAATATTTTGAACCGTTGTGGGCCAAATATTAAAAAAAATATATTATTTATATATTTTTTTTTATGTTAGATAATTTTTTATCTAATGCATAACTTTATGGTCAGCAAAATTGTGTAATTTTTTTTTATATTAATATCGATATTATAGATGTCATGAGGCTAGCACGAAATTCATTCAAGATTCTTGCATGGAATTTTTGAGTCTTTCACAAAATATCACAATGATTCAAGATAAAAAGTAGTGTTTTTGCTTACCAATATAATTTTTTCTCCCACTATTGAAAAGATTTGTTCTTCCTTGGATCTAATTAATGTCATTTTTTGTAACTAATGGAATCCATTTATGTTACAATATCAGTACTTAAATGGCACTGTTACATGATCTATTAGTAATTCAATAAACTCGCCATTTATTAATGGTTCTTTAAGGGCTTGGGGGACAACCATATATATAAAAGATGCTTGTGTATTTTGATTAATATGTGGTGTTGAAAATTAAGTTGTACAAAAACAAGCATTCATTATAAATATACAGTGGGTTATTATTTTTGATTGAGGATTAAACTGTGTACAGGCCGTTGGAGCTTTTGATACTAAAGGTTGATCTATTATCGAGTTAAAACCACAGGCAGTGGTACCAAGGCACGTTTCTCCTCCTATACCCTCTCAACGTACGCCAATCATATTCATATTATGATTGAAAACAGTCTTTAATTTGATTTTTTTTTTAAAAAAATATTTTCGTTGGATTTTAACTATTCAACGATAAATTTGTCAATAGCTCTTTTTTTTAAAAGAATTTTCAGAATTGATTGAAAATTTTATTTCAATGGATATGTGTCAAATATTCAGAGGTGGGAGAAGAACTTAGGGGGCGATTCGATATAAATTGAATAGTAAAAAAACCAATCAAAACTCAAATTTAACTCAACTCCATTATCTTCGGTATTACCAATATAATTAAATAATATCAACCAATCATTCTTACACATCAAATCAACTTTAATTACTATTCATCCACTCACATAATTTTAACTAACCATCACTTCCAATCATTTTTTTACATCAAATCAACTTTAATTATTTTATTTAAATATTATTTTAATATATCCACTAACAACTAATCATATCTCTTTTTTCCAAAATTAACTATAGTTAAAAACAAACCAAATAAAAACTAGTTGAATCCATAAACAATCAGCCCCGCGAAATATTTGTTTATATAAAAGAGTGTTGAACAAGACCACGAGGTTATAATTCAAGCAATACAATAAGACACTCACCTTATGTTTTGTAAGGGTTGATACGAGTTTTATACCTCTCGTAGATGTTTATAATACCTATTAAAGAAACGATAGGAATTTGTTTATTAAAAAGAACACTTATTTTGATTTTTCACTATTAGGCTAACATAAAAGTTGATTGATGTATATTAACTCTTGACAAAATACCTTCTGACTGACATGATCCCAATACTTTGAAAACCAATCAGTCTTTAAAATAAAATAAACTATTATAATTCCACATGGTATAAATTCACAATATTTCTTTTACTTTCTACTTCTCAGACTTCTTCGGGGGTAGCTGGATAAATTCCATAAATAATAGGTCTCCGAAAATGAATAGGTCCAGTCCACTGAGTTGAGTTCATGTTAGTCTGCGTAATAATTGTGGAAGAAAGTAACTGCCTGTGGAAGAAAATAACTAATTAGATGCAAAATAATTTCAAACAATAGCAATTATATATCAAGCCGTATTACATTTTTTCTAAAAAATAAAACCAAGATGAAGCTGTATGTTATTAGAGAAGACCAGAAAATTAGCAAGTTCACTTCAATTAAATCTAATTTTTAGTTTCCTTCTAAATGTAATTAGTGCAATCCAATAACTTGAAAATGTTGCGCCACTTATTCGTTATTCCCACCATACCCCTTCTAATTTAATCACTTGCTACAAACCTACGTATACATATACTAGAATCAGTTAGGTACACAAACAAAAACCTCTTCAAGAAGAAATGGAAGCCACAAAGACCAAATCTATTTTCCTCTTCCTTTTTCTGCAAATCTCGGCATTTTGCAATTCGGTCCACCTATCCACCAGTTCGAGATGGATAGTCGATCAGGCAACCGGAAAACGAGTAAAACTCGCCTGCGCGAATTGGGCCTCACACTTGGAGCCCATGATAGCCGAAGGGCTCGAGAAGAAGCCCTTGCGCGACATAGCCCGACAGATAGCCTCAGACGGGTTTAACTGCGTGAGGTTCACCTGGGCCACATTTATGTTCACGAGGCCCGATTATTCCAACCTCTCGGTTTCCCAATCACTCGACAAGTACAGCCTGGCGGCTGCGAAAGCCGGCATTGCTGAAAACAACCCGCAATTTTTAAATGTGACGATAACCGAACTTCACCGTGCTGTGGTGAAGGAGCTCGGGAGGAACAATCTAATGGTGGTGCTCGATAACCACGTCAGCGAGCCAAAATGGTGTTGTGGGCCCGATGATGGTAACGGGTTTTTCGGCGACCCGAGCTTTGACCCGTTAGAATGGCTCAAAGGATTGTCGGAAGTTGCTAGGATATACAAGCGCAGTTCTGCGGTAGCTTTAAATTTAGATAATATTTATGTAGCCTTGGTTAATGTATGATTAAGTTGATGGAAGATTTTTATTATTATGCAGGTTGTGGGCATGAGCATGAGAAACGAGCTACGAGGAAATCGACAAAACGAGGCGGATTGGTACAAATTCATGCAAGATGGAGCAAACACCATCCATAAAGAAAGTCCCGATTTTCTCATCATCGTCTCAGGGCTATCGTATGATACGAATCTCGGGTTTCTAAAGGCGAAGCCTTTAGGAATAAGCCCGAAGAACAAATTAGTGTATGAAGCTCATTGGTACACCTTCGGCTCGTCCAATGATAAATGGACCGACCAAACGAACGGCAAATGCGCGAGTATTACAAAAGCCGCTCGGGATAATTTCCTTTTCTTGACAACAGGGGACAATAATAGTGATCCTTCACCTCTTTTTCTAAGTGAGTTTGGTATAGACCAAAGTGGGGTAAACGAGGCGGAGAATAGGTACGTTAGTTGTCTGCTTGCTGAGGTGGCGGAGAAGGACGTTGATTGGGCATTATGGGCATTTCAAGGCAGCTACATGCTGAGACAGGGGACAGTTGATCTCAATGAAACTTACGGGGTTACGAGCTTTGATTGGGAACGTCCGAGGAATCCGAACTTTCTAGACAGATTGCAATTTATCAGACAAATTAATCAAGGTAAATCTTGTTTGACAATTAATTGCATTTCATATTTTTTAGAAATTTAAAAATTATGTCATATCATGTTAATTAATTACTTTTCAATTTCAGATCCAAATTCGAAAAAACCGACCAAATACGTAATTTTCCATCCTCAAAGTGGGCAGTGCGTGCAAATTGGCAAGGACGATAATAGCCTCTTGCTAGCTAACTGCAAAAGTTCGGATCGATGGGACCAACACAGAGACGGGGGCCCGATTAAGCTGGCCGGAAAATCGCGGTGGCTCACGGCGGAGGGAGAGGGTGGTGCGGCAAGTCTTTCGAATAATTGCTCGACTAATTGGAAGTTGGTATCAAGCTCGGGGCTCCACTTGGCGGCGGAAATCGGAGGCGGGAATTATGTGTGCTTGGAAAAGAATGGTTCGGGGCCCACAGTTGTAACGAACAAGTGCTTGTGCGTTGGTGATGACCTAGCCGACCTTCCTACGTGCAATGACAATCCGCAAGTACAGTGGTTTAAGCTTGTTGCCGTCAATGTGTAGAGATTGTTTGTTATTTCCCATTCACAGTGTTAGCTTAGGGAGTTTTTTTNAATTTCGGTTTCTTTCATTGGATTATTGAGGTGCGTGGAATCTATAATTATATATAGGAATTAGTAAGGGCTCGTTTACTTTTGTGGTGAGGATAAGATAGAGGCATCATTTATCATATATTTTGTTGTGCAAATTGTCGTTCGACCCGGTTTGAATCATAATTCGTTGATTTGAACCGTCTTGACGCCTTTGGTGACCTGCAAAACATCGGGAGGTATCCCGACGGAAAATACTCCGACGCCCAAATCAGTTCACGTTCGGCAATAATGTAGCGAGAAAGTATCCTTTTGCGTGTATTTGTGTTGTATAAAAATAATATGTTTCCCTACCTATTACTATAGGTGAAGTGGTGTATCAATCAAGATATTCCTAGTAGTGCTTGGACTCCAAGTTAAACAATAAGTTTTCCCGTATCTTCGCTCTTATCGAGTCCCGAATCTCGAGTCCTTGACAATATATACATCTTAACCTAGACGTTTCAATTCCCTTCTTCTATCCAACTCCAAACCCGAAGTTATCAATATACCCCTTAGGTCGACCCTGCTGGTGTAAGCACCAAGGCCGGCTTAATGCCCGACCTCAACACCATGCTTCGGCCACTAATCTAGCTAAGGCCCTCCTACTTGCCGAACTCCTCTTCTTCCGGGACAGACCGCAATTCAGGACCTCAAGGAAAGAACGATCTGCGAGGAGCACCATCCTAGGCCATCTCAGTGTAAACATTGCCGAGCTATCAGATGGGCCCTGGTCGAGCACCTTAGTCTTACTATATCACATACTATGGATTCTTAATAACCCTTCGCGACGAGCTTCTTAAGAGAACCTATCGCAGTATCTAGCCAAGCTGACCGATCAAACATTAATATCCTTAGCTCTGCCACCGATCTCTGAGTGTCTGCAGACAGTACGCCATTTTCGTATGAGCCTCTTTGTGCTATCAATATTTACGTCTCATTTTTTACAAACTTGATTTTCTCGGCCGTGGTTTCGTCCCACGTTTACTTTTTCTTGTCCAATTTTCATTTTGATGTAGGATAATTGCGATTCCCCATATTTCTACTCTTGGATACCTAAATCACCCTGTCATTTGTGCTCGAGCTTTTTCTGAAGATAGTTAGACAAAATTACCCTAATCCCAAGGGAAAGTTGCTGCCACACCATCCATCGATCGTCAATAAGTCTGGTCACGACAATCAATGTACTCTCAATTTTGCAAAATTTCGTCGGATTCAGCATATGCGTTTCAATAACTGTCAACGATGTAATCTCAAATATTTGGAAAACTTCACGAACTAAAATGTCATCAACAATTCAGTCTCACATTGAACATGAAAGAGAGATATAGTATTTTGTTTATCAACAACCTCCTCAATAAGAGAAGTTATGAGTACCTCAAACGAGAGGGAACAATTTTATCATCCGTAAAGAACAACCACAGAGAAATCCAGACAGCATCACTACCAGACACCTCAGATGACCATAGTCCATTCACATCTCTTTTTCTTTCCTTTGCTTTGCTTTTGTTTTGCACGAGCACTTCCAGTGCATCTTAAATGATATCATTTTTATCTTTAGCCAACTCACCAACTCACTTGTAGTCATTGCACGATCACTTCACATTTTAAAAATGATGAAAACTGACAAATATGCGAAAAACAATTCGTTTCACCCCAAAAACATTGTCATGTAGATTTACCAGAGCCCCAATATATAGATACAAGAGAAGCCCTAAAATAATATAGACTAAATCTCTAAGATACCAAAATCTATCTATACCAAAAATACAATATTCACAAAATCACTCTAACAACTCCCCTCAAGTTGGAGCATGCGGATTCCGGATGTCCAACTTGCCAAGAAAAAAATCAAACTCGCGTATTCCCAAGGCCTTGGTGAAGATGTCCGCCAATTGAGAATGAGTGGAAACATGAGAGGTAGAAATGAGACCTTGAACGAGAGCATCACGAAGAAAATGACAGTCAACTTCAATGTGTTTGGTGCGCTCATGAAAGACAGGATTAGCAGCAATATGTAGCGCCGCTTGACTGTCACAATGAATCCGCATCGGCTGAGAATGAGCCACACCAAGACTGCGAAGTAAACCCCGTAACCATTTCAACTCGCAAGTAAGCGTCGCCATAGCACGATACTCAGCCTCGGCAGAAGAGCGAGCAACCGTGTGCTGCTTTTTAGTACGCCATGATATTGGAGAATGACCAAGTTGGACGAACCAACCAGTGAGAGACCGTCGAGTAGTAGGGCATGTTGCGCAATCGGAGTCACACCAACCATAGACCTATAAGTCACAATCAGACCGAAGAAGAATAACCTGGCCCGGAGTACCCTTCAAATAACGTACCACACGAGTGGCGGCATCCCAGTGTGCCTGACGAGGCTGATGCATAAACTGAGAGAGCATGTGTATAACATAAGACAAATCAGGACGAGTGACAACTAAATAAATCAAACGGCCCACTAGCCGTCGATATCGCTCAGGATCAGAAAACAACGGACCATCGTCCAATGGAAGCTGGTGATTCTGCTCCATAGGAAAATTAGCAGGCTTGCTACCAAGCAAACCAGCATCGGCAACTATGTCAAGAGTGTATTTCCGCTGACACAGAAATACAGAGGAATTCCGAGCAATCTCAATGCCCAAAAAATATTTCAGGACTCCCAAATCCTTCATATGAAAACAACGACCCAAGTACTTCTTAAAGGCAGTAATAGAAGCCGAATCGCTTCCAGAAATGATGAGATCATCGACATAAACCAGGACATGCAAGTACATAGAATCTCGATGTAGTGTGAAAAGAGAGTAATCAGAATAAGACTGCTCAAAATCATAATGTTTAAGAGCAGTAGCAAGCTTTGCAAACCAACAACGAGGAGCTTGCTTTAAACCATACAGAGATCGGCGTAATCGACACACCTTACCAGAATCAGGCGAATGAAAACCAAGAGAAAGTTTCATGTAGACCTCCTCAGATAGATCCCCATGCAAGAACGCATTGTGCACGTCCATCTGTTGAACCTCCCAATGTCGAGCAGCTGCAACAGCAAGAAAAGTCCGTACAGTAACCATCTTGGCAACAGGTGCAAATGTCTCCTGATAGTCAATGCCCTCCACCTGTCGGTTACCCAAGACAACCAAACGCGCCTTGTAGCGCTCAACAAAACCATCAAAGTTATATTTAATCTTATAAATTCACTTGCAACCGATTGCGTGTTTTCCAGTAGGAAGAGAAACAATATCCCACGTACGATTCGATTCCAATGCTCGAATCTCCAGTTGCATAGCTAAACGCCAGCGACTATCTCGAACAGCCTCAGAAAAGGTCCGAGGCTCAACAACAGAAGAAATGGCTGCCAGAAATGACTGGTGTGCAGGTGAAAATGAATCACAAGAAACATAGTGTGCGAGAGGGTATGGAGTACCAGATGATGATGCGATAGGGGTGACCGCGCGTCGCAACGCGGCAAAATTAATATTTATATTTTTCCTCAACTAACCCCTACTAACTAGTAGTAGTGGCGAGCAAGGGTCGATCCGACGAGGAGTGTGAATCAAATCGTGAATTTTCTCGTATTAATTGAAATTATAAAAAGCGATAAATGGGGGGGTTTTGATTTAATAACTAAACTACCTAAAAATCTAATGAAATAAATAAAATCTAAACAAGAAAATAAAAATAAAAATAAATAAAATAAGAGAAAGCTTCTAGTTCACGGTTCCGTCTACACCCTCGACTGACTCGTCTAATAAATCTGGTACCAAATCTCGCTATCTTATGAAATTACTAGCCCTAGGCAACGACACGGTCAATTACCCGAATTTTTCCTTATTTTTAATTTAACCGCGAGACACTCGACTATTAAACCTGATGTTCGCTAATTATTTTCGCTATCCGCAAGTGTACGGCGTAGCTATAGGTAGTGGCGAGCAAGGTCGTATTCCACAGAGATTGTAGTTAAATTAATTAAGTACTAAAATAATGACGACTAAATATTATCTAGACTAATGAATTGGATGATGATTATTAACTAAGAAATTAAACTAAGAACTAATCTAACTAAAAATAAAAATAAAAATAAACAAAGAAACAAAAGGTAGATTCTATGCTAAGCGTTCCTCGGAATTAATTCATGAAACGTTTATATTCAAACAAACCTTATTTAATTTTACCAATCGTAGAGATAATCGCTAAATTGATTTCAAACCTTTCTCTCGAACAAGTCAAATCGTAGATATTAATTGTTATCTATCTCCTCTCGGTCTCAAGATGAACAACTAACTCCCATAAGTTCCTAGGATTTTCGTTCTCTCGCAAGGTCCTATCAACCTCTCGGTCTGTTTATTCTCTTACGTTATAAATCTCCCAATTCTAGCAATCAATTATCTCCTCTCAGTCTCAAATCGATCACAAATATGCATTCATAGTGGCCATCTACTCACACAATAATAATAAGCAAAAGAAATTCATAAACGAAAGATGAACCGGAATGAAAGAAATAAAAACTAAATCATAAATTAATCCGAGTACTAACCAATCCTAGAATCTAATAGGTTTAGCTACTAAACATATTCTCAAAACTCAAAATAAATAAATCCATGAGTTCAATGAAGAAGAAAAAGAGAAAAGAAAGAAGAACTATTGTCGCCGTTAGTTCCCGAATCTTCAATCTTGACTTCCTCGAATCCCTCGTGTGTTTCGTGCTTTCTCTAGGCCTCCAATGGTGTCAAAAGTCCCAAAAACAATTTCCTAAGGCCTCTTTTATACTGTAGGGCACTTCTGGGTCGAAAAAAGGAAGAAATCGCACAAGAATCCTATTCCCCGCAGGTCTGGTCTGCGCGTCACACGAGTCGTGTGACTTTTCTCAACATTTCGGCGAACTTTCAGACTCACACGACTGGTCACACAACCGGGTCACACGAGAGTCGTGTGAGATCACACGACCCGTGTCATAACCCACACGACCCGTGTGAAAAAGCCGCAGCTGCACTTGTTATTCTCTCAACCCACACGACCCGTGTCACTACCCACACGAGTCGTGTGACCTCTTCTGCACCCGTTTTCGCCGTTTTTCGTCCCGATTCCATTTCCAACGCATTTCCGGGCATATTTCTTACAAAACTAACGACAAAAACACCTCTATCATAGATTAATAAATAACACAAAATGGTGCACAATCACACGATAACCATGACCAAATATCACAATATATCATTCATAATGCATGAAAATATGATGAATGTCACCTGACTTCTTGTACAGTCTAGAAAAACGTTTTCAAGATTTAATACAATTAGCCGCTTTACGATTTAGAAAAATAGGCTAGACTAATTAGTGAACTCAACCGCGTTCGTTCACTTAATTAGGCTGTGTTATCCCCGGTAGTTACCATCTTCCAGTTACCACTTATGAATTAAACACAACAACAATTACGGATTGCAGGCCTAATTCAGATGTAGATATGAAAAGTCTAATCTAGGTGATCAATCTAAACAAGACTAACACATCATGGTGAATTATTCAAAATAACACAAGCAATTCCAAAAAGATATTAAAATCCTCAACCATAAAAATCAATCAAAACATAGTCAATCGTAGAGTTCGACTTCCCCGGAACTAGAAATAAAAACTACTCTAACATAATAAATAAAAAGAAAAATAAATAAAAGAGAGAGATTAATTATCTCCCTCGTGTATGGGTGCGGCCTCCCTCCGCAATTGATCGGGCTTCTCGTCTGCCTTTTTGTTTGCGGCGGCTCTTATTCTGTTTTCCCTGCTCCAAGTCGGCGTCTTTTTGCTCTTGCGTGAATGTCTTCAAAAGTAAAGTGCTAAGCCAAATAAATCCTCCCCCAAGCAAACGTGTCCAGGCATTCACAAATAATCTCATTAGTGGGCCCTATGGCCTTTTAACTATTTCTTAAACTCCCTTCCCACAACTTCCACCAATTTCATGCGTATAAAAATATATTTGGGCTTTAGATTTAAGCAAATATCACCATGTACCCACTAATCAATATGGAACTTGATTATCACTAGTATGGTGCCCAATACTCCAGCTTCGCGTTCAACGTACCGTCGTTTGTATTATTACTCTAATATCCTGAAAATAAATCATAAATATATCATAGCACTTAAATTCATCTAATAAATAATTAAGTCAAAAAATATAAATGTGCAAATAAACTAAGTGTATAAAAATACACTATTAAATATATAAAACGTGCACATTTCTCGATCTATCAAGGGGAGGCAGAGTGGGGAGACGAGGAACAAATATTATGAGAGACAAAGTCGGCAAGACGAGAAGATGGTCTCTTGAGACGATGACCACGACCCAACACTTCCTCTTGGGAAGGATTACCCTCCCTATCGACAATGACCTCAGAACCCCCAGTGGCAGCAGTACGCGTGGTAGTGGGAACCACCACATCATCATCGTCGTCAGAGACAGCAGGCCATGGAACCACAGGTACGGATATAGTATCAAGAGCAGAAGACGTCAAATAAGGGAACTCTGATTCACAGAATTTCACATCACGTGAGACCTGAAAAGTGCGGCTGTCCAAATCATAAACACACCATCCCTTTTGGCAAGATGAATAGCCAACAAAAACACATCGGCGACTCCAACTTCCAAACTTGTCACTATCCCTGTTCTGATTGTGCACGTAACACAGACAGCCAAAAACACGTAAATGCGCATAGTTTGGAGGTTTGCCATACAAAAGTTCATAGGGAGTCTTTTCGGATAAAAGAGGAATAGGCGTTCGATTAATCAAATAGCCAGCAACAAGTACACAATGTCCCCAGAACTCAATCGGTAAATTGGCCTGAAAGCGTAATGCTCGAGCAACATTAAGAATGTGTTGATGTTTGCGCTCAGCACGTCCATTTTGTTGAGGAGTTCCAACACAAGAAGTTTCATGAACAATCCCCTGTTGACGGAAATAATTGCGCATACGAGTAAATTCAGTCCCATTGTCACTGCGAAGAGTTTTAACCAACACGCCAATTTGCCTTTTTATAAAAGCAAAAAATTGCAGTAGAGTAGAAGACACCGAAGATTTGTCATCCAATAAGAAAATCCAAGTACCTCGAGAATAGTCGTCAACAATAGTAAAAAAATATCGAGCACCACTAAAGGCAGGAACTCTATAAGGTCCCCACACATCACAATGAATCAAACTGAAAATGGAACTGCTAATGCTGCGACTAAGAGGAAAGCTAGCACGAGATTGCTTTGCCCGACAGCAAACATCACAAGCTTTATTTGAGACCAAAGAAGGATATTCGACAAAAGGCAATTGACCAAGAACAGTAGAAGATGGATGACCCATCCACTGGTGCCACAAGTGTTGCATAACTGAAGACACCCGAGAAGCATTGGCAGTGATCGCCCCGCGGAAAAAATAGAGCCCCCCTAACTGCTCACCCGCACCAATCACTGTTCTCGAAGTGAGATCCTGAATAGCACAATATTTATTAGTGAAGGTAGCAGCACAACCAGATTGTTCCAACAACCGAGATAAAGATATCAAGCTGCATTGAAGACTGTCAACGAACAAAACATCATATAAAATATACGAGAACCGAGATGAACTGTTCCAGCTTTACACGCAGTGGTGAGCGTGCCATTTGGTAACTGCACAGACCGGGACGGAATATCCCGAATATCAGAAAAAAATTCCAAGTAGCCTGTCATATGATGTGAATCACCACTATCATACATCCACTCATAAGGACTACGCTTACCGGACAAAGGAGCATTATTGCGGGCAGAAGTGACGAGGTGTACAATAGACTCCCATTGGGCATTAGTCAACTCAGAAATAGCCGCCCTATCGGAGTCCGTCAATGAGGATGTTGGCCCGCCATGTATGGAGCCAGAGGTACTAAGTGCAGCCCCGTTAGCGAAGGCGGCGTTGACAAGGCCGGCAGCGGCTGGTCCGTCACTACGTGTGCCACGACCAACTCGTCCCCCGACGTGAACAACGGATCCTCCATTACGCGATTCCCCCATAATTCAAGCTTGGA